TCACAAACATGCGTATGCACTTACATGCCCTGCCTTTACATTTTTCTTTGTACTATGAATATCAGGTATTGCATTTCCTTAATGATCTAACAAAGCCCTGTATATTATTTCATTAACCTGCTCACAGACACCCTGTCACTCTCGATTGTGCTCCTGATTGTACATAAAGTTGTGTTTTTGTACAATCAAAAGACACACCTCACTGTTGTTGAATTCATGAGCTGTCCAGCTCTTTAACAGGAATGATCTCTTTTATAGAATATCAAAAAGCATTTCCCCATGACTGGAATAGCCTACACGTCTTGTTAACTGCTGATGTTTTGTTGTGACTGGGTTGAGGTGTAAAAGGAGATAAGACAGGATAAAAGTTCCCAGTAATACCGAATCGCCTCCCCTATTGTCTTGTATCCTTAAATCATGGTAAAGGAAGACTGTTGGCATCAGTTTCTTAGGCAGAACAACATGTAACATCCTGTACTGACCCAGACTGAGTTAAGACAACAACTGCCTGTCTATATACAGTATATTATTTAAAGTAAGTTAAATAGTGTTAGTGATTGTATTATTTCTGTTCTCCTTAATAATATATTATTTAGGATGATAACTGTGTCAGAACCAGTGCTTTATTTTAGTATGGTATGGTATATTATATAAATATACCATGGTTTCTGTGAACAGCATCATCACATGCACAAACTCGGTTTTGTTGTTGTCATTTTGTATTTAAGGGTTTTTTATCATCATAAAAGCATTGTTTGATATTTTTTTCCTCTTCCTTCTCAACAATCTCACAAGCTAATAATCCTCCCCACACATTCCTGCTCCAGGCCACGTCAGATGCCACTTGAATCAGGAACAGACAACTTGTCCTGCGCTGAGGCAGCTTGCCCAGGATTATCCGAGGCATCGCATTCAGGCCAGGAAGTTCTTTCTTTGGGTGCCCATTGTTCAATAACCCCCTCAGATACATCAAGTCAACCACACAAAAAAACAGACGTGCATTTTACCCCAACTGTACTTCAACCGGGACCATTACCAGGTGTACAAACCTGTGTCAGATCTCAGCCCAAACTTGGAACGTCAGCTCCAATCAGTCAGAGTGCAAACCTGGAACGAGGAAACTGAGGGAAAGGTGAAGGGATACTGAAGGGAAGTAAGCATTACCGTGGGGTGTGTGGACACCTGATATTTGCCGTAGTCCTGTTTGTATTCTCCCCTCTTTTTGCTGTGGGAGTCTGTATCACTGATATTTATTCTGGAGAATGTTGTAATGTAAATGGGAAAGAAATGGATGACCCATAGACTGCTTATAAATACAGTCCCTACATAATCTACCGTATAGGGATTTGTATTTATCACAAATTGTGACCCTAACAGAGAAAACCAACATTTTTCTTAACCTTTTACAGGTACAAATTATTTATTGTTTATAGCTATTTTCTTTCTGTTTTTAGACTGGTTTCCATTGCATATTGAATAGACTAAAGCACTAGTTGGAAAAGCTAAGCTCAAAGACAGTGACAAAAAGAGCTGAACTGTGAGAAGATTGTAATTTTGTGTAACTTATGTCTTTACACTAAGCCTGATGACGGGATGGGGAAAAAACAGTTATAAATTATAATGCATTTAGAAAATGTACCTGTGTTTTGTTTAAAAATTGAAAGGAAGATTGTTTAGGCTAAGAGGTACTGTTTACAAAGTGCAAGAAAAAAATAACCAAAGACAACAAAAGCTCTATATTTAGATTCTAAAAAGCAAACAAAATTAAAACATGTATTATATAATAATGACAGTCATCACAACTATTTAAGAAAAGAATTTAAAACCATTGAATTAGCATTGGATGTGCTATTTAGAAACAAAAAAATGTTTTAAAAGATCTGTACAGTTATGTTCCTTCTCTTCAATGTACCTTTTAAATCTCTTTTGACAAAATTTTATATTTATTTTTCTTAAATGATTTAAAATAACTTTATTAGTAATAAAGCGCTTATGAGGCAATGAGTGCACTTTCCTTCAAAGACTCTATTGTACCCCCCATTGTTCTATAATTTTGTTGTTATTTCTAGTATTTACTGAGATCCTTCAAATATACTCTCCCATGTCGACTGCGCCATCTAGTGGCATTACACAGTACGACGCTTGTGCTGAAACTAAATAATACACATAAAGGCAAAATGGGTTTTTTTAATGTCCACAGTTACGTAATGCTTCCACAAACTTCATAATGTAAATCACGACAGCTTAATAACTCAAGTAGCACAACATGTTGATGTATGCTGTTTAATATTGGGATGAGATACTTCTTCCACCCATAAAGGTGATGTGGAGGATAAAATTTAGGTAAATATGTTGTTTTGTTTTGTTTTTTGATGTTATTTTTCATCTACTTTTACTTGTTACTTTATCAGGGAATTCTGGACTGTAGTTACAAAATCAAATCATTGCATTTTAGGTAGCATCAATGGCTATCTCAGGGCACATTACATTGTAAGCAGCCTACATATTTGTCATATTTGTCACATCATACCCAGGGGTATTTTAGTCAGAGGAAAAGCACCAGCACTGCAACATCTTTTTTCTTTTTTTTTTTTAACAATGTTTATAAATTGAAGTTTTGTTTAGTTTTTTTTTTCATGTTTAATGCTCATTTTATTTTATCAGATGGTCATGAATCATAATAATATAAATTTGTTGAGAACATTGTATGCGCATATGTGGAGTCATCAGCCAAAAGCTTATTGTGACAGTCATTGCCAACCAGCCTGTCTTGTGACCTATTAATAAAAAGTCATTTTCATTTCATACCCTTCATCACATTCAGAATTTCTTTGAGTTGTTGAATGTTCTTAACATTCTTGCTTGTTAAGCATTTTTAAACTGTAACCTCAATATATGATTTCCCCCCCCTGCCCCATTTGTCATCTCATGATCCCATTTTGGGATCATGAGATCCTATTTTGTGTTTTCCTGAAGGGATCACTATCTTAGAGATCATTGAACTTGACTATTAAACTGGCAAACAGTAATTCATCAACATTATTTTTGAATTTGTACCCTAACTAAATTAATTTTTGATACTGTTACTTTTAAAATTAAGATTTTTATTTTATATTCTTAGATCAGTTAATATTGGTGGATTGACACTTTTACTTGAATAAAAGGGACGAAAATGGACCATTACATAAAAAAAGGAAAGGAAAAAACTTCGCACCTGACCCTCTCAGAATCAAGTGTTTTTTTGTGCAATGTCTTAATTTACCTGAGAGATAAGTGAGGTATAAAAATGTAGGCCTTTTATGGACTATAACTCATTTTGACTACTACTCGTCTCACAAAGTGATATTGGCCCTTGAAAGTTGACCTCAAATTAGGATTTTAGCCAGTGAATTATCAGAAAAGGGATAAAACATCCAGGGTACCAATGTTAGTTTCTATTATTCTACACCAGACATTAATTTGGTGCCGTTAAGACTGGCAAATCCCACGACACCAATACTGGTTACAGAAATAAACAATGAACAAAAACAAGACTAGATTTATCATTTAGAACATGACACTTGGAGAGATTTGACTGACTAGGTTGCAGGGCCTCAATGTGTTTTTCAGCCCCTTGTCTCCCCTGAACTAAAGTTATGAAGGCTCTCGGATGTTATTAACTCACAAAAATATAATGTGATTTCAAAAGAACCACATCTGGAAAATGTTGAAGAAAAAAATTCCATTGATTTATAAGGCGCTTGGGTGTGAAGCACCAATTGATTGCTGATGGAAAAAACATTAATATTAAAGAAAAGTGGGGAAAAAAAAAAAGGAGTCTACATTGGGGATCAAGGTTTAGCCTGTTATTCATTGCAAACATTTATTACATTTCATATGATGCAAACAACAGTAAGTCCCACCCTTGCTGGAATAGCTCATCATCTTGTCATGAGGGAATTAAAGAGACACAAAGGGACAGGGACAGAAAAAAGTATGTATTATGCGCAATTCCATTGTTTCCTTACAAAATAAAAACAAAAACATAACAATCATCTCATAGTGAATTTTGGCATCTCCTTCTCTCCTGTTGTATTGTGGAGTAATGGTAAATAAAACAAAAAAACTCAAAAGAACAAGGCATGCATAATAGTATCTGGTAATGCACATAGATCAAAGGATACCACTTATAAATACAAAATCCATGTACGATGTTTGTGTACATTTCATATATATGGTCCCTTTCTTAGGTGTCTTAAGCCCATCTACCTATTCCCACTGTGGGATGTGTCTTCTGCTTGGTCACTAGATTAACCCTGTGAAAAGGTCTGAGCAGGAACGTACATCTGTAGTATGAACTTCTAACAGTGATGACTACTAGACGTTACATCTGGCTGTTTATTTTATTCCTCGCTTCATTTCTTACTGCATGTTATTATAAAGATATTTATTGCAAAGTTCATTTAATTTATTTAAATAGTCTTCCTTGCATCAACTGACCATTGTGCTACCTACACAATTTCAAACCTTATCAGAGTTACAGCCAGTATTACTTCTATTAAAACGTTCCTCTTGTTAGTTATGTTACCACCCCATGCTTCTCTTATGTAAATTTAAGGAGGAAGAAAAAAAAAAAAAAAAAAAAAAAAGGGGGGGGAGGGGTGTTTTTGACTATTTTGACTCAATCTAATGTGACTGTGCCCACGAAGCCTGGGATGAGAGTATTTTAACTTCCAAATAACCTAAAGAAACTCATCACATTTCTGATACATCAAGATCAATGCACTGTTCCATTTTAATAAATGGGTAAAACAGCCACATGTATAGAGTGGGGGGTGTGCATGTGGCCACTTCATTTAGTTATTGAAACCATGTGGGGAAAGCAAGAAAAACAAAAACAAAAACACTGCGATTAAATACGATGTTGAATGTCTTTACTGTTAAAAAAGTGTACTGCAATGTATACAACTATGTTGCTCTCTCTCATTGTTTAACATGTTGTTGAAGAGGGGGTGGGGGAGAGGCATTGGATTGTTGATTATATAAATGGAATCATGTACAGTTTTACACTTATAATGCATCTATCATCATTATCAACAGATCGCAGGGAGCGAGGGAGAAAGGGGCAGCAGAGGACAGACAACATAGAAAAGATTCATCCGCTTGAATTTGAACACCCTTTGCTGTGGAACCAATGCTATGTTACTCTTTCAAAGAGGGGAAGAAAAAAAAAAAGCGAGAGATGGAAACAACTGTGTTCATGTACAGGTATGAATGCTGTAAGTGCAGAACCAAATGTTCGACCAATAAAAGTCTATTGGGATCAAGTTGTACTGGTTTCTCTGAAGGTGGATGTAGACTTGATTAACCGAACGTGGGGCTGAGCATGATGGTACTGGTGGCAACGGTGGGCGACTCGAATGGTTGGATTTAGCGCTCGCCCTGATAATCGTGGTGGTGGTGGTGTCAGCGTGTCACGGGGCTTGGCTTCTTTAGTCGATGTACTGGGAGAGCCAGCGGAAGCCCTCGCCGTAGCCCTGCCTCTTCAACACACTGCACATGAACACCTCCAGTGGTCTTGTGTTCAGCTCCTTCAAGGGAACATTGCCCTGAGGATGGAAGAAAAAAAAAAAAGAAAGCAGAAAGAAAAATTAAACCAAATCCACTTTGGGACCACAACACATTGGTACAAGGCTCATTTACTGCACATGATCCCCTACGTCTTTTACATTGATAAAATATCTGACATGTTATGCAAAAGAACCAGGCAGGGATTTATCTAGGACTGCTGGTCCTTTCATATTTTGATATATGAACTTATATATATTTTTTCTGTTCTTCAGCATTTAGAGCTTTAAAGCCTTGGTTCACTTGGACGGTGTCTCACCTTTCCTGTCGTCTGTCCGTACAATCCGAAGATTTCCCTCAGCTTCTCCTCGCTGATGGCTTCTGGCCTGTCAATCTTGTTGCCCAGGATCAGAATAGGCACATTTCCGATGGTCTCATCTGTCATTAATGCCTGGGTGAGTCAATGAGAGTGACAACATCATTTTAATTCGTATTGGTAGGTAAAGGTAGATTTGGAATCATCACATTTAAAATTCATCTCAAACAATGGCTAATAAATTGTTGTACATTGTCTGACAGTGTGGGGTAAATTTCTTATTCACTATTTTTGTCTGACCTGTCAGAGACCACAGATGAGGAGCAGCCTTTTAGCTAACTCTGGTATATTTACATTGATATCATGCCAGGTCATTAATCATTCACCCAGATTTGATTCCGGTTAATACTTGTACAGCTGCTGTTATTGTGTATATATTTATTTATATTTAGATTTCTTCATACATTCTTATATAGTTCTATATTGTGTATTTTGTTGTACAGTTATTTTATTTTCAACTTTAATTTATATATTTTATCTTATTCTCCCAGTTAAATTTACCCTTCATTCTAATTTGTGTTGTACAGTTATTTCATTTTTAACCTTAATTTATATTTTATTCCTTCCTAGTTAAATTTACCCTTTTTAATTTTTCATATTTATTTCCTATCTTATTCATAGCCTTTCCTTTTTTGTTTTCTTTAGGTCACGAGCAGTTGTCCAAGCATTTCACTGCATATCGTACTGTGTATGACTGTGTACGTGACAAATAAAATTTGAATTTGATTTGATTTGTCCATTTAAAAATTAAATTTAAAAAAGCCAGCAAAAAACATGCTTTTGTGAAACACAATTAGAAAATAAAGAGTGTGATTAACATTTTCCTGTAACTCCTAAAATACAAACAAAACATTTGACTGGCCAATGTTACACTTTTAGAATTTGCTCAGTTTTGGATGTTCTGTGAGCAGCTTTTGCCTTTCAGACTATTCTAAAACTGGTAAATTAGTTACCAGAAATATCCCTTTGGTCAGCTGGTTGAAAAGTAGATTAGAACATGTAGGGAAGAGAAATGAACCCCTCTCTTTTAAGAAGCGGGGCTAGAAGCAGATTTTTCAGAAACATCCAAGACATTAGATTAATGCACCACAAACTGAAACCCTTAAAAAAACATTTGAATAAAGAAAAACTGCCATACTGTTTTGTATAATCTATCATAATTCCCATAATATTGGTACCCATTGGGCAAACAATTGTGATCAATAATATTGTGGTGCCGCTTTCATACAAACACGCTTTTTTCAACATGTTTCCTTTTTCTCTTATTTTTAAAATAATTATTAATTATATTGTGTTCTTTTTCTACATGATTACTTGTTTTCTGAAAGAAATAATCCCTTTATGAGTAGTTCTTTAATGGTCCCTTTGTATCTTTATATGGACTTACTGGGGAAAAACAAACAAACTATTATCTCCTCTCATTTTTTTCCTCAAATTGCAAAATTATCAAATACATGTGGTAAAAGGTAACATGCACAATGAATAACCAAAACTTCACTTATTTCTCTCTTTGTTATTATACTAAAAGCTGTCAAAAACGACGCTTAGCGGTGTGATGGTGACCACGTGTGTTGCGGGTACTTACATCAAGTTCTGCTTTTGATTCGCCCAATCTCCCAAGGTCTGCACAATCCACAAGGAAGACAATGCCATTGATGGCAGGGAGGTAGTTTTTCCACACCCTGCGGGCTGAGTGAACAAACAAAATTAAAAAAAAAAAAAAATCTTATTTGTCAACTTCTCTTCTGTTTTAACCTTGGGCTAACCAGACTGAAAACTGAAGTACATTAGCCATACAAATGAATATTGTTGTTTCCTTAAAAACAAAATGCAATCAGTAAAATACAAAAACTATCAGAACACAGACACACCTTGTGCGTGGCCTCCAAGGTCAAAGGTGGTGAAAGTCATACCAGCAATCGTCAGCTCTTCTGAGGCTGGAGGGGAGGAAATGAATTAGTCAAGCAAAGATACTGAAAAAACATCAGTTTAATGCAATTCCATATGGAATATCCAAGCGCATGTTACACATAGGTACGTTACATTTATGATATTACATCCAATCAACAGCATCTGCTTTAAAAGTGTCTGTTAACAAGAAAACAGATATAAATGTCTGTAAAAGCTGCCTCCATTTCTTTGTATTGATAGTCTTTTGACACATAACCGAATGAGCATGTGTGAACGTGCATGCATGTGACAGAGTAAGCACCAACTCACTTGGGTGTAAAGTTGGCACATGCTGTCCCAATCTGTCATCTTTGAGCATGTGCAGTAGCGTCGTTTTGCCAGCATTGTCCAGGCCAAGAAATACTAACTTGCCGGATTTCTTATACAGTCCTGAAAGAAAGCCAAAAGTATTTCAGAACACAAACCTGTACGCTACTACTCTTTTTTTTTTTTTAAGTTGCTGAATCACATTATATATTTTTTTAATCTTTAAAGCAAATCAGTGACACTAAACAAAGGCTGTCAAGCTCAGACCTGTTCTTAGAACTACAGGGGATATTTAATCCACATAAGTTTATATAAATCAGAACACCATTTTGGTTTTCTCAAATTCACACAATGATTATTTAAAAAGAAGTAGTTAGTTTCCAATTTGATGGACTGATTTGACTATTTTTCTTTCTTTCTTCTTTTTTTTTATTTTTACATTTATTTAAAAAAAAATTAATTAAAAAAAAAAAACCTTTCTCAAAACATAAAAGGTGCAAAGTTATGCCACTCCTTGATCAACTTTCCTAACAAGATTACAAGCCTTTGTGTTTACAACTCTGAGTCAGCATAGTGATACCTGGTGGATTTATAACATTTCTGAGTCAGTCAATTGGATGACATCATTACTTACAGCAGCACTATGCGACCTGTCTAACTGGGAGAACAGGAACGCCCGTTTCATATAAGCAGTTCGAACACAGAAACTAGAACAGCACACCCTGGGGAAAAGAGCTGCTGGTACACATTTCAAATGGACACTCAGAGAGAGAGAAAGAAAAGAGGGGAAAAAAAGAAGGGTGGAAAATTCTGTCATGTTTCTGAGAGATGTATCCTTTATGAGGCTTTCATGTTTACGCAGCATGTGGACATCACTGAAAGCTTTAAGCTGAGCGACTTTCAGGGAGCAAAATGGCAATGCCATAACCCATAGGCTACCGTGTATTAGAGCTCTAACCAGGAACTAAAGACATACACTGAAGCAATAGAAAGAATTTGAAAAATGATGACCACTCCAAAAAATGGTGATACAATCAAAAGTGTAAGAGTGTAAAAATGGATGTGTTAGAATGTGAAACAAAACAAAGCATTTTCCTGACAAGGGCTGCAGCTGAAAAATATTTTATGAACAACAATAAAACTTTGCAGCGTGGATTAGGAGATAATGAGTGAGGATGTACCAATCCAACTTATTCCATTTCTAATTTGATACCTTACCTTCAGTTATATTTGATATCAGATCTCAACTAAAGCTGTACTACCCACTGTGTCCCTCTTATGTCAACAGGGTCAGGATTGAATAAATGGCCCATTATACCTGATGTCTCCCTAGCAAATGGCGGCAGACGCCAGAGGTGACGTTTAAAACATGCTTTGGTGCATTTTTCCTGATCATGCACCTCTCAATTTTTGTTACCTTGCATGGAGATGCAGACAGGTTGAAGACATGCATGTGCAATCCTGTCAGTTTTTAACCACCATGGTTCACCGCTCAGAGATATCCATATTACACAGAGGGAGATGCTGCAACAGCCTGAAAAGATCAGACTTTCTGTGTGAAACTTTGGAAAGGTTTTGCCTGAGGGACAACACCTATTTGTTTAGGTGGATATTGTAGCGAGTTTCAAGCACTCTCAGCCAGTATATATAGTCCTCACGTCACAGCTGACTTCAGGGCTGGACTGGGACAAAAAAAAAAAAAAAAAAAAAAAAAAAAAAATCGGCCTGGGCATTTTGACTAGAGACCGGCCCACCAGGTATTAAAGCCATAAAGCCTTTGAATGAAAATAAACGTTGTTGTGACAGTGATGTACACTGTCCTGTTAGTATATGTATGATTTCTATACATTTTACGTCAGATAAAAACTTTGGTTGTAAGATTCAGATAATTATTTTTTAAAAGCGAGACATTTTAAATGAGAATAAGAAAGAAAAGTATTTCTTTGTGCCCCCCTTTCCCTGTTAATGCCCTACCTGGCCCCCTGACCCGCCCCTGCACAGTTACCAGCTGTCAGCTACTTAGAAAAGGATTCTGATATTATTTGTCTCTCAGAAACAGTTTATAACTTCCCTTCAACTCATTCATGTCACCTAAAAAGGTAAACCTGTTTCTCCTTCACCTGTTCAGCTCTGATGATTCAGTAAGGACATCTCCTGGTTTCATCTTCATGTTTCCCTCTCACCAGATATCCAAACCAATATCATGACCAGTAGCTTTTACAGCTGTGGCTCCAGCAAATATCAGCTGATACTAGAAAGTAATAAGCAGTGATGAGATTCTGAAACCACCCAGGTGAAAGCCTTTCACTATTTGGCTACACCTAGAAATTCTGTCCAAGAAAATTATGAACAGAATCAGGGACAAAGGGCAGCCCTGGTGGATCCCATCACCCACCGGGAATGAGTCCAACTTATTGCCAGTTATGCAGACCAAGAGCTGGTCCAGTGTTCCATGACCAGGATGAAAACCGCACTGTTTCTCCTGTATCCAAGGTTCGACTAACAGATGGACTCTCGTAACACTGATCTGCCAAGCGGCAAGCAGATCAGCGTTAGTCAATACTCAAAAAAGTAATTATCACTCCAAGGAGAAAGTAATTAATTTTACCTGTAGCATTATTTTCATCTTACTGTAACATAGCTGAAATGCATTGACTCATAATTACCATTTAACAATACAAACAGAGGCTACAGTTTCACACACCAAAACAAATCGCTATCCTAATAAGGTCACAAAGATAAAAGATAAGATAAGATAAGATAAATTAGTCCCACACGTGGGGAATTTGTTTTGTTACAGCAGAAAGTGGACAGTGCAAAGTTACATAGAAAAATTAGAAAAACACTGGAATAAGATAATGATAATAATATGATCTTTCTCTCAGTGTTTAGGTATGAACACAAAACTGACAACACAAAGCAATGATGAACACCAGCACAAAGACACTTCAAAGTGATCAACACAGTAATTCTATTGTTGAAACGGAGGCTGCAGCCTGTCTGCTCATCAGTTTGTTACCTTTGAAGTTTAGGGTCTGTCTGTCTGGGTTGGGGTCAGCAGTCACTCAGCTTTAACATCACCCTGCGTTCTTGGCTAGCTTAGCGTTAGCATGCTGTCTGACTAGATGCTTGCAAAGAGTCGAAGCTGTGTTAGCAACATAATGCAGGTGTTTATGTCCTAGATGGAGTTTCCAGTTTACCATTGCATTCTCATCCTATTGTGCAATAACAATAAAAGTAATGTCATATCCACAATATAGACTGTGTCACTATTTGCAAGTGCAAGAACCGATAACTGGATCGATAGACAAGCAGACCAACGAGACTAACAGTTCCCAGTAGTCCAAGGAAATGGACAACCGGTTCTTGATTCCCATCCCTAGTTGGTACTCACCTAAAAACTGTAGTACGCTATTGAAACCGCTAGAAATCCACTCCAATAGGAATGACATATCCGGAGCTGTTGAATCCTGAAAAACAACCCCACCCCCCAAAAAAAGAGGATTCAAAACAAAGGAAAGAACAAATTAATTCACAGAGAAGGGTATTTTTCCCCCTTTGGACTGATAAGTGCTGTAAAGTGAAGCAAAATTCAGCCCTCCCTTTTATTTTCCTTCTGCATAAAGAAGATTTCAGTGGCCCTGGAAGAGAATTTAGCCTGTGTGTGTGTGTGTGTGTGTGTGTGTGTGTGTGTGTGTGTGTGTGTGTTCGTTCTTTTTGGGGGGATAAATATATGGTACTCAGATTTGAAATTTAAACTACACTTTCTAGAACCTTTTGTAATTGTGTCTTACCTTAATTTAATTTCTGCACCAAAGTAAATTATTTCTGCTAAGTTAAAGAAAATATCTTATCTGATTCAACAGTACTTTTCAAATTTTATAAGTTGTAAAATTGTGATTTATTTATTTATTTATTTTTTAAATAGGGCAAAAACCAACTTGCCAAAGTATCTGAAAATATTAAGTGATAAACACAATTAAAGGGTAACACATAACTTAAGAACTAAATATGCCAGTTGCATCAACCTATCACACAGATACTAGCAACTGCTGATAAGAACAGTGAGTGCCTTTCTACAGCCAATGATTATCTTGTTCCAGAAGGACAGGAGATTCAGAACCCTGATCACATACCAGCTGACAGTTTCTTGACAGACAACGTGAGCTTTAATCTGAAAATTATGCCGTCTAAGACGTTTAAATGGGGGTAGCCTAATTGTTTGTCCAATTAAAAAAATAAATAAAATAAAATAAACAGACTCAGATAACTACTACAAGTATGAAATCAATAGCAGTTTCTGTTGTGTAACAGATGTTTTTTTTCTTCTTTTTTTCTGGGTAAGACACATTTTTACAGTCTTCATTTTTTATTTCTACTTCATATAAGCTTCTTTGTCTCCCATTTAAGTGACCCAATCAAATATGTGAGAGCTATGCTTATGACATTCAATAAAAGGGAGGACAGAAAAAGCAAACATCCCCTCTCCAATAAGAAGTTTTTGCACTCCATTTCCAACTTCATCTCATTTTTCAATCCTCTGCACACTAATCACAACAAGGTAAGCTGGTACAGACCTCTGGCCCCAATTACGTAACATGAAAACAACTCCAGGGCTAAAGTATAAGGCTGACAAAGGTCAAGATCATGCAAATACAGCTGAACTACACGTCAGCTGGTGCCACACTGTGGACCGATATGCTCCCATGCCTGCCTCAGTGACTGTAAAATATTCAGCAAGCAAAAGATGCATGTGGCCATAAAAAGCTTGCCTGAAGTCTGCTGCCTTACTCTGTTTCAACTGGATTTGGCGGTGTCGTTTACAAGATGTGCAAACTGATCATCAAGCATGACCAACTGCTACTACTAGGGTCTGAAATGAAAAGCCAAATGCCAACAGATCTTCTGTTTGGTCGGTAAATCTCAGAAGACTTTCTGACACACTGACGGGTAAATATATGCCCTAAAAAATACACATGAACAACTTTAAAAGACTATGCTGACGCTCTACTACATTTTGCTGTTGTTGACTTGCTCTGTCATTTGCCGTCTGTCTCAGAGTCCAATGAACAATGACAATATTCTAACAAGAGAACAAGAGCTCACCCAAACCAAACGGTAGCCCTAAGAAAGACACAGACACTATCAAAATAAAGGGAAAATAGGAATGGGTCTTTAGAGTAAACAAATAAAAATGTAATGCAAACATGAAAGTGAATTACTCTGATCAAATTGATTATCCATGAAGAAGGTTTCCGAACCATTACAGCCTTCTTTTTTCCTCATAAAGGGCCTCTAGGACGAATGGTCCCCACTTAAGATGTCAACGTTACCTGTGTTATCTTAACAGAAGTTTATGAATTTTCCTGGCCATCTAATAGACAACAAGTTTCCTTAAAAGAACACCCTCTAAGAAACAACTTCTTAAAAATCCATTCTCATGTCATACGATTGAGGAAAAGGCAAAAACTATTAGGTGGGCTTAGGGCTGTGCGATATGACCAAAATCTCATATCCCGATATAAAACATCTATCGTCCGATAACGATATAAATCACAAAAATGTAACATTTTCTGTAAATTCTGTCAATCTCGGGTAGCTGAAGTGTTTCTAGCTGGGCGTCATATATCTGGAGTCGAGTGTTTTACCGATGCATGAAACTACACATTTTTAGACATAGGTTGTAACAGCCGCCGTTTTCTTTGCAGCGTGCTGCAGGGAAAAGCCTGTTCTAACATTTGAGTCTAAGGTTTATTTTTTAGCACCTGACGGCTCTTTTTTGCTTCTCATTGGTAAATACTCTGCATACTATTTTACGTGATTCAGTTTATTCTGAAAAGTCTCAACAGGATCTTGAGCTTTATTGAGAAAGGTTTATGTGGAAAATAAACAAGCGGACGCGATGGTTTTACCATCGTTGTTGCTAATGACAATGCATAAAAACAGGCGCTTGTCCGTCCATAGTGTGGTTATATTAAATATAAGAGAAAGAGAGAACTTTAAGAAATGAATATAGCCACTACAGTGACCATCAAAACGATGAAAAAATATTGCCATAAACAGTTTATTTTGCAACACCACGAAACAAATGATAGCGTAAAATGAAACGATAGACGTTTTTATATCGTCATCCGATATATATCCTTATATCGAACAGCCCTAGGTGGGCCCCAAACTTTTCACATACATTAAGTTTTTTTTGTTAGTTTGATTTATTTTTTTACTTTTAAATATGCTCAGTAAAATTTTGTGCTCAATTGCTCAGTACTTTGAGAAATTATGTTTTGAAATTAGTTGTTACATATATTAAAATAGTTATGCTACAAATGTTCGCTTTTGCAAAGTTATGTGAACCAACAAGGCAATTAATTTCATTGGCCACTATATTTTCCTCTATATTTATTTGTCTCCTTTGCCTTGAACCTTTAACTTGTGACAACAAAAAAGATGACTTCGAGAACTCAAACGTGCCCTCAAAGAAAAACTCGTTATAACTAAGATGTCTAATATAATTAAATCTGACATTTAAATACACTGCAATAACGCTGAGTCAACATTAAATGGGGTGTCTTATCAAAAATCGTCACCCATGTAGACCGCTTACCTCAAACACTAACGTGATCTACCTCTTGAATTCCTAGTTCAGCGTGTTAGTAGCAAAGTGCTCATGTCTTAGATAAAGCCTATCAGAGCAGTGTGTTACCAAACTAAGATGGGGCACATTTTCTCCTCTGAGAAGATATGAATTATTATCACATTTAGGTTTCAGGCAGTACCTGTCAACTAACATAACACTGCGAAGACAACGAATGCGGTTTGACTCGGCTGTCAAAATCCCCGGGTTATAACAGCCAGTATCGACGTAGCAGTGAAGTGAGCTAACCTTCAGTATGACGGCTAATGTTACAGCAATTGATGGTCTCTGCCAGGTTACACTTCAGCCAAAAAACTACAACGAGGACTGGATTTAAGAATGCCAACAAACCATGCCACGCTTATATATATATATATATTGGTTAGGTATAGTTTGAAAAGAGAAGGCGAGGCCGGCTAACCGGCTAGCAGGAAGCTTCTAGCTACGTGTCATATTCTCTATCACTTAGGCGACGTTGCATCGATGGCTACGTTAGCTAACTAGCAGTTAGCTACAAATGCGGCTCTTCGACGTGCTAAAACCATGAAATTTGTGCAATACTCCGACTGTTTTTCAACTCTGAAATAAGCACCAATGTTTAAATAAATATGACAACGGGTCAAGTTAAATGTACACCTCACTCCCAGCACCGTAACAGTAAACTTGGTGTAAGAAATGCTAACGTAGCAACATTAGCAGCCGGGAGAAATTGCTAGCCTAGATGTCGAACGTTTACGGGACTCTTTTCAGATATCAAGTACATTAAACAAAAAAAAACTTACCCGTTATCTAGGTGTAGATTAATATAACAAGTATGTTCGCTCTAATACTCATGTAAATTGGTCACTTGCTCAAAAAAACCAGAGAGCCTGCAAAATGCCAGGTCCTTCTCTCCTCCTTCGTGTTTTGTTACTGAGCCACGACACTGCAATGGCTGTCCAGCAACTCCCCGAAAACTCTGCCCTGCCGCTTCCTGTTTATGTTTCACAGTCATCTTTCCGGCAGGGGAACTAAAATCTCGCTCCGCTCTGGATTTCTTTTTGTTTCAGAGCCAACATGGACATATTTTGCTCATTTTTTTAATTAAATAATTTTATCGGTGTATTAACGCGTGTGTGATGGTTTGCTCCAAGTTTTCATATTGTTATAGTCAAATAATCTCGTTAGGCAAGTCCATGTCAGCTCTGATATGACGAGATATACTTTGTTTATCTCATATTTAGAAAATCATTTGTTTAAAGCAGTTCAAATTAATAGTAAAATAATAATAAGAAAGAAAGAAATGGAAAACTATACTAATAAAATCTTGCACTCCATTCAGGAGGTGCAGAAGATAGTCCTCCTGGGAACTGGTCACATTCTGAGGAGGACTTTATCCATCAAGTGAATCATCACATGATATCTCATAGTAGTTCTAAGTTGAAGGAATAAACTCAATATCATGAGTGAACAGAACAGGATTTTCAGGATGATAAAATATTAATATTAATAAAAATACCCGTCAAATACTTTCTCTACGAGGCAGGTGTATTTTATTATATTATTTATTATAGAGGGTGATGTGGTATGTAGCTGTACTTATGTCAGCAGAGCTTAATCACTCTGTTAGAGAAGGTGCTTTCTCTCGCGGTCTCTCTACAGTAACCGGTGCGGAGGGTGGTCCAGATTAATCCATGATGGGAACAGTTTGTTCAGTGATCTGCTCTCCAGCTTCAAAAGTGTTAAATTTGTAGCCAGTCACAGTGCCACCCTCCAGCAGACCACTGCGAAGTAATTGTGCTTGCACAACTGAGTAATAGAGAATCTCCATCATGTATCTGCACACACTGAAGGATCTAATTTTTCTTATGAAACAGAGTCTGCTCATTTCATTTTTGTATACAGCTTTTGTGTTGGTCTTTCAGGTCAGACACCCACAACACTAACATCATATCCCAAGATAGACACAGGTCATGTAGGGTGTAATTATTTTGCAGATTATTTGAAATGTATAGGACTTGTAGACCATTTTTACATTCAGCAATTCTTATTTCATTTTATATTATAAGCACAAAATGTATAGGCTACATCATATTATGTGCATATGACTAGAAGGATAAAGTCCTGGCAAAAACGAAAAAAGAAAATTAACAAATTATAGTTAACTGACTTATTATTCTTAAAGTTTTGTTGTCACATTTCTGCATTTCTTGACAAAAATGGTCAAACATCTGATTTGGAGTTTGTCCACCAGTTCTTATTCATATGGAATTTCCCCAGTGATTAAAAAAAAAAGTACAAATGTATTCCCTTTGACTTTCTTATCACTTTCAAAACAATGATGCTGGATTTTTCCCAGTTGCATGCAAGGACAAAACAAATAGCTCGGAATTCATAGAAGTTGTAAGGAAACTCAATGTCAAGTCTAAATGTTTCCAGTGCTTGACTGTTTAATCAAATGCAAAAAAGGTGAATTAAACTACATTAATCCTATTATAAAGATGAAGCTTATTCCCAACTAACCAAGGTTTATGTGTGGTTGTTTTTCCATACAGTTATGTCCAAAAGAATTCACCTGGGGACAAACTATAGCATATTCTTTTAGTGCTTTAACTTAGATTAGAGGATTCCACCATACGTTGGAAAAAGTATCACAGGTTGTGTTTCACGTGCAATTAAATGAGCAGCTTCTCAAAAAATGCACAGTGATTGTCCATGAACTCGATGATGTTTCTAGTACACTGGAAAATCCTGTGCACCGGAGGAAATGCCACGTGTAAATACTGCGCATGCCCGACAGTTTCTACGTTGATCCTGCTGGGTGATCCCAGCTTCCGGTGAAAGGGGAGAAGTGTCTGACACGATTACTCTGACCAGGCCCATCGTTACTCACCCGTAGATAGCCGAACGGGTTTTTTGATAATGGCGATGGGCTTGTAATCGTCAACAAGTCACCTAATCAACTTTTTTTTTGAGATAATAGGAGACGTCGCCGCGGACGACGCTTTGAGCAGGCTACGCGCCGTCAGAGCTACAGGTTTAAACGTTACCCGCGACTGTCAGCCAGCTAGTTAGCCAGCTAGTTAGCCAGCTAAAGTCGTAGCTAGCTTTTCGCCAACCAAGCACCTCTAAATTAGATCCTGGTGTCTGTTTCAAGATGTCAACTGCGGGGTTCAATTCTCAGAATGGGACTGGGACAGGGCAAACATACGCAAATGGTGAGTAACTTTTATTAAATATATTTACTTCAACGCGAAGTAGCTAACCGCTAACTGGCTTTTCGGTAGTCACAAACGAGCACTAGCGGCACTTCTTGGATCTTGTGTCTGATGCTAGTTGTTAGCTAACTGACTTGCTTAGTAACACTGTAACGATAGGTAGCTAAGTAGGGGCGACCTGTCAGGTGTAGAGCTGAGGTTAATCTTGATCTATGCTACCTTGATGACTTAACGTGACCAAAATAGTTTCTTTCTTTAAGTTACGCTATACATACACATTTAGTTAGTGTTTGAATGTTTGCTACTTTTCCCTTGTCGAGGTGGCAGCCCAACAGGTTGATTATAGGACTCATCAGGCACCATAAAATTATAGAGACAGGTGTTCAATTGTCCGACCTTTCTCCACACAACACAATATAATATACGTAGATATAATGCGAGCTCGTTGATAACTTGAAAAGTAATTGTTTTTTTCCTTTCATGCTGCTGGATTTGTCTGAACCTTTTTTCCCTTCCTTTTTTTTTTAAACTCCCGATGTAGTTTTAGTGGCAGTGAATAAATACATTTGCTTGTTTACTAGTTCTTTCACTGTTGTGCAATACGGATTTTCAGCTGGCTTAAAAGCTCTGGCTTGTCTGCGTCCTGCGTTTTTCTGTACATGTGGCACGTTGGGGACCATCCAAATATGTTAAAGCAAAGCAGCCTGAAACAGATAAATGTCTTAATTTCAGGTTATTCATATCTTTTTATGGTTTTCCAGTGGAGCACTGATATTTCACAATCAAATTAGTCTGCACTTGAAATAACTTTCTTGTTCTGTGCAGACAACAGCATCCCTAGGTCATAATACCTCAGCTCCAATTCAAAAGTTGTAAATGAGTACACGTGATTTTGGTCATTTTAATATAGCATTGTTTTTTCCTTTCTTTTTCTTTTTTCTAATTGCAGTTCAGTTAAAAATACAGCAGTGGAAAATAAACAATGCCAATTACCAACAAGAAAAAAAACCCATCAAGCACATCAATAAAGCTGGGTGGCATGACTTGAATAATATTTGTTATCCTGGGTTATCTTTATGCAAATGAAATGTTAATGTGTGAATATGGATCTTTGTTTAAAAAATGTTTCCATATATCAGGTGTAATTCCCATCACTTATGAATGGACAGAAATGTCATATTATAATGCTAAGCTTTGTGTATAAAGACTAAAGGCAGTTATAAGGAAACTGTCCATTACAAGCCCCTGCATATGCTCATAGGTGAGGGTGTGGTTTTTGTGTGTGTGTGTGTGTGTGTGTTTTGTTGTTGTTGGGTTTTTTTCTTGACTGATTCATATTTTATTCGGTATCATTATCATATACCCAGTTTTTGTTAAAGCCAGAAGTTGCAGTGGACTAGACTCAAAAGGCTTTCCTGACTGCCTTACTAGTATTCAAGTTAAAGCTGACAGTCTGCGCTGTCTCTGTATCTTTGGTTCATTTTCTTGTCTTGAGTATTAGTATTTCTGGCAGGACAGGGTTGAACTTCTGAAGACAATTTAGTAATAATTTCATTACAGCACTTACCCATGGGCCATTCTCCCATTTAAACTGAAATTATTAGTTTTGTGTTTGGAGTTAAACAGCGCCAGTACATTAACAGCCTCACTATTTGAACTTGCTGTCATAAAGTGGTCTTTAGAGCTGCTTTCATTATCTTAATCATTGTAATGCATGTTGTATTTTCCTACTCTGTAAGTGAAGTTTTTCTTGTTTTACCATTAGATGCTTTTTGTTTTTTTACTGGAGTGAAAGGTCTGATATCACACTCGGCACTTTATGATTTCTGACTTTCTTAGAATTTCCCTGCTCTTAGAAAGGGCATAGATTACTGGATTATGTTCCGTCATCTATCTTTGCATGTTGAGAAAAGTTTTCTAATCCCTTTTCACTCTGCTGACTTAGCTCTGCTGTCAGTTATAAAGTAAAGGAATAAATGCATAGTAGTGAAACTGCTTGCATTACATAATCGTTTAGGCCACAAATGGCATCACATTGATGCTGCAAATTAAAGTGTGCTGATTAGATCATTCTTGGTAGTTTTTGTCCTGCTTTCCTTCCTTCTTCCTTATAACTATTTAGAATTTGACATCTGTTTCCTGTTCATAACAAGATCTTACATCGCCTATTGTTATTAATGTTTGACACTCTTGAAACTGAGATGTTCGTGTTACATTTTTAGCCTAGTATCTGCACAGTAAACACAGCATTTTAATGGTGCACAGGTGTCAGCTTTTATCACTGCTGTGTTCAGTAAGTAAGCCTGAAACCCACTGTCACTGAGGGAAAATCACAACAAATTAAATCCAAGTAAAGAGATTACTCCTCTGGGCTGTCGGCTCATTGGTCATTTGATGCATCCGTGTAGTTTTCACTGCCAGCACTGTGCCATCTGTTTTTCATATAAAAACATTTAAAGCAAGTGGATTGCCTTAATTAAAATGCACTTGAATCACAAACAATAGCCCCTAGCTTGAAATCTATAACATTGCTGGTTACATCTCTCTGTAACGCTAAAGGCTTTACTGCTTTTGAACCGAAGGCTAAATTTCAGATATAACTCTTATCCTACATGACAATACTGTTATTTAAAGAGCTGCAGCCATTGTGAAATGTTGGCGAGTAGTCAGGCAGATCTTTTCCCCTAAACAAAGGGATTGAAATAAGAGATTTATAAAAAATAAAATTGACATAAAATTAACCAGAGAATTAAATGATTTTCATGTCTGATTTTAATTACTCAAAGAGGAAACTGTGAGAAAAATGTATTAACATGTCTGTATTTATCCTCCTCTGGTCTCCAGGTCCATCACAGAATCCTGTTGCCCTCCAGCAGCTACCAGGGGTTAGTTATGGGATGACTAATCAACCACCATACAATCCAGTGCAGGCCAAAGCTCCTGCACCCCCTGGCCCTGGACTTTACCCAGCTGGGCTATACCAGCCTATTCCCCCAGTTAGCTCATATCAGCCAGGCCCACCACCCACCTCCTACCCATCTTCTGCAGGCCAGCCACTGTTGCCCAGGCCTCCAATGGGAGGTCATCCATCACATACCCCTCCTCAGTCTGCCAGCCCCAGTCCTGGTCCTAGGATGCCAATGCCTCCTGCACAGGCAACACCACCTCCTCCTTCTGTGTCTTCTAGTAGCTACTACCCCAACCCTCAGCAGCCCATGACTCCAGCATGGCAGTACAACACACCTACACCACCACTGGGGCCAGCAACCTCCATTAGTGCGCCTCCAATGGGCCCTGTGGCAAATCATGTGAATCTAGCTGCAACCTTAGCAGGGCCATCACTGCCATCATCAGCATCTTACAGCTCAGCAGCACCACTACCACCACCTCCCAACATGTCTTACAGCACTACCCAACCCCCGGGCCCAGGAATGCCTCCCACCTCTCTGCACGGCTATACACAGCCAGGTAAGTACATCAAGGCATATAACAAAGAGATACTCAGTGTTTCACCACACATAGACTTTACGTGGCTGGGAAACCTGGACAAACTGACAAAGACATAATTTTTTCTTGCAAATTATTTCACTGTGTTGTTTTCATCCAAAACAACATTATGATTAATATATAAATTGACAATCCCATCAGTCTTATTTCGAATGTTCAGGTGCTATTGACCTATAGTCCTTTGCGTCCAGTTTTTCCATGTTTTCCGACAAGTGAGTTGGTTAACTTGCTCTTGTCTCTTGTGCCTTTTATGCTTGAGCCGTCTTGAGCCTCTTGCCCTATAGTCCTTGCTCTGGTGTGGAAATCTGCTGGTAGAGTGCCACTCTAACCAGCTGCCACAAGTGGAAAGCTAAACTCATGAGGATAAAGAGCATAACAAGGCCTTTCTCCACCTATAGCTGGAGTCTGTCCTTACGATGGAACTAATTGTTACTGTTATTTCATGTAACCAAATACATATGGTATTATTTGTTATGTTATTGGAAAGGGCTTATATACAGTGGTGTGAAAAAGTGTTTGCACTCTTCCTGATTTCCTGTTCTTTTGTATGTTTGTCACACTTTCATGTAAAGGTAACACAAGTAAACATAAAATGCACTTATTAAATGAAGGCGTTTGTTATTAAAAAGAGTAAAAAAAAAAAAAAAAGGTAAAACGATTACCCCCCTAAACCTAATAACTGGTTGGGCCACCCTTAGTAGCAAAAACTGCAATCAAGTGTTTGCAATAACTGGCAGTTAGTCCTTTAAAGTGCTGTGAAAGAATTTTGGCCGCTTGTTCTTACAGAATTGTTGTAATTTGGGGCGATCGTGGCTCAAGAGTTTGGAGTTCGCCTTGTAATCAGAAGGTTGCCGGTTCGAGCCCCGGCTTGGACAGTGTTACG